TCTGAACCAATCGCGGCTCATCTTGGTGTGGCAAAAACTTATAAACGTTTAAAATTAAGATATTTTTGGCCCGGTATGTATAAGGATACCGTGGATTTTATTAAGAGTTGCTCGGTTTGCAACGCATACAAACACAGTTCACTGGCAACTCCTGGGTTCATGGGAGAACCTAAAGTTTGCTGTCGGCCATTCCAGTGCATCAGCATCGATTTAGTTGGCCCACTGCCGATGTCCAGACAGCAAAACAACTATTTGCTGGTAGTAGTGTGTTGCTTTACAAAATATTGTTTATTATTTCCTTTACGTCGAGCTACGGGTAGGGTGATTGCTCAGCGACTGGAGGATCATGTCTTTTTGATTCATGGTATACCTCAAACCGTGATCTCCGATAACGGATCGCAATTTGTAAGCCATGAACTTCAATCTTTGTATGCCAAATATAATATACCGCAAGTCCATTTGGGTCCTGTGTATTGCCCTCAGGTTAACACTGTCGAACGTTATAACCGTACTGTCATCACTGCGGTGGCCTCGTTCGTTGAAAATGACCATAGATCTTGGGACGTGAATATTCATAAGATCCAGTTCGCTATGAACACCTCTGTGAACGAATCGACGTCATATACTCCGTTTATGTTAGTTCATGGTAGGGAGGCTGTGACCGATGGTAGTATTTATGCCGGTTTCAACGATCTTGACGAGTTAGTGATAGTACCCCGGGATACTCATGCGTCTAATCTGGGTCATTTAGGTGAAATCTTTAAAGAGGTCAAGGACTCACTGCGAAAAGCCCACGATAGGAACGTTAAATATTATAACAGGCGTCGTAGGGATATTTCCTTTAACGTAGGCGATTACATTTGGAAACGGACGTATAAACAAAGCGCGGCTCATAAATACTTTTCAGTCAAACTTGCACCGAAATATGAACGTTGCAAAATAATCCGTAAACTCTCCCCACTCGTTTACGAGCTCGAAGACGAAAACGGGAAGTATGTAGGCAAATGGCATATAAAAGATTTCAAAAGCGCTGACCCCGAATAGATATTTAGGTAGGGACTTATCGCCGTGGATGTGGCGGCCGACGAATACCCATTCCGCCTTCTGCCCGGCGTGACGTAGAAATCGTCAATGGGTCTTGGTATCACACTGCATCTTAGATACCCATGTGTGTGTTCGTCTCCGATAGTGTGATCTCTTTGTTTGCCACCTAATTAATGCTTAAACACTTAATTGTCTCTTAACTTTTCCAGGAGAACATTTTGTTAATGTGCTTGTTAGTTTTTTTACCTACCAAGGCATTTTATTGAAGTTGCTAATACAAATGAAAACGTATTAACAACAACTTTTATCATAATATCCTATGGTGAGCATAGAATATTTATGATATTTTTTTTTTTATTTCTCTCGGGAGACAGTAAATGAGACACACGATGGACGAACGCACAACATGTAATTTTGTGAGCAAATCGCCTTTGACCAATAACATCTCTTTGGTTAATTTTCTACCATTATGTTTTTCGCGGTATAACTGGTAACATTATAATTTTTTTTTTATTATATCTATTTTCGGAGCAAAGATGCCTGCGGTACGGCCTTGAGTGGTATACACTTTGTGTTACTATTGTCATTTATTATTATCTATTTTTGTTACAACTTAGAGATTTATCAATGATTTATCGTTCTGTATGTTTATTTTTTCTTAACTTAGCGGTTTATAATATTCTATTATTTTATACAACATAACCTAATCATATCTTAACTAAAGTACATAAGACATGGGGATATACGAACGAGGGCGTTCGACGAATTCCCTACGTGAATTCTGCCGTGAGTGGGGGGATACTGTAGTGTTTGTTTTTAAACAGAGCGTGACACTGACACACGTAGGACAGCTGTTTTGTCTATGATAGCGAACCGCTTACGTCAGCGTAGCTGTCAAACTTCATTGATTGGGTTGGTAGCCTTGAGGGAAGAGTCGATTTTCCTATTCGACTAAAATATTCGCCTTGAGACTTATAAAAAAAAAAAAAAAAAAAAAAGTAATCAGGCGGTGAATCTCTGTGGGGGCGCGTGGATGAATGGATGGAGTTTGACAGTTGTTGAATTTTGAATAGTCTTTCCCAGATCGATTTGAGTCCTCCTTATCGGGTGCTGTTTTTAATCGATTTTGAATTTTACTCGAAATTGAATTTCCTCGCTGATTCGGGTAGGTATTCCCTTTTCCTCAGCTTACGGCGAGCGTAGGTATATAGTTTTGAGTTTATTCTTCGGTTCGTCTCGAATGCGGCGGCTGTCTGTTTGACTGTGGCCTTTGCCTTCAGTTGAAGTGGGAAACAAATCATAGACACATGTTTGGGAGTAGCCGATCCGTCTATCATCTATGAGCAATTGTCAAAACAACTTTTAAAATTTCACAATCTGTTTGTGGTACAGTTAACTTTTCATCTTTTCTTCTGCCCAAAGTATAATAAACGGCATATTATTGTCGTCGAAGTCGTGAGATAGATCCGAAAAGTTTATATCCCGAAGGATATTGGCGGAAAAAGCGCGGAGTCGCTAACCGAACTGAGTTTCGTAGGTATATTGGAGTGGCTCTTTTTCCTACATAATTTACAAGTTTGGGCTGTGAAAATAACCTTTCTGTTGATATTCTGTATCGTAGGTGGACGAACACGAACCTTCACAAGGCGATTGCAATAATAAGGCGGTAACTTGTGATAGGAAACAAAATACTTACGGATAGTTTCATAATTCGAACGGTAAGCTATCATCTGATCTCATATTTATTCTCCTAGCACTAATTGAACTGCATTATGCACAATATAGTGATTCTTGTCATCAAATATACCTAATCATTCTTGTCAAGTTAGTGAACGTGGAATTGATTTTCTTCAAACCGGGTGGGACGGGCCCCCAGTCCTGTATTGATTCCAATTTTAAAGTGTAAACATTGACCGTGAATATCCCTCACTCCCTCACCCACCACAGATGTGGTAATCTATGTATTTTCCCCATATCTGATCATTTTTTTTCAATGTGAACTTCAGGCTTGTACGTTCCCCTCAAGAAATACTGGAGGACTAACAAGGAGACTTTTGTTCTGTGCACGGACCAGAAGGGGCGCGGGAGTTTATTTGCCAGCCGCTCTCCGGTTTTATGTAGCCCGGCCGTAACAGCGGACAGATTATACACAGCTTAACCTATCATAATCAAGGTATTTCTCTACTAACCCCGGGTGAACGTGAAAAGGAAACAACAGGCGAGGTTGGACCCCGACTTACCCATTTCCATATATTTACATATATCTATATAGCTGGTTATCTCACTGAGAACTAGAATTAACTAAGTTTGTCACCAATATCGATCAAACGAGCCGTAGAACCTCTGAAATCCACTAAATAGCTTATTCAGTATAGTCTATGTGGTATTTGTGGATAAAAAAAAATATTAGTAAGTATTATATTGTAAGTACATGGTAAAGTGTTATGAATGTCTGATATTCTTATAATTATAACCTTTCCTGACAAACTTGTTGGTTTATATACACATTAACTTTGAACTACTGTATTCAGCTTAGATATTTATAATTAGTGAAACATAGTTATTATATAAATAATAAACATAGTTGGACTTGTTGATTTATATAAGCAATAACTAAAAACTACTGAATTCCTATGCTTTGGTATCTAAAGTGGATAAAATATACTTATAACATTATCTTAATTTTTTGGTTTTCTTTTATTGTTCCCCCGGTGCTCTGAGTAAGCTAGTAAAGAGCTGTGGAGGGGAATTTAACATCACATAGGTTGCGGTGCAGGAGAAACCATCTTTATTCCCAGAATTCCCATAATACCAAATAATTTTCCATTCCAATTTAAAAGAACGCAATTCCCAGTATCGGTGTGTTATGCAATGACAATAAATAAGGCTCAAGGGCAGACCTTTCGTGTTGTTGGAGTAGATCTCGGTGTCAGTTGTTTTTCACATGATCAGTTATGTCGGTCTTTCCCGGGTTAGCAGTCCTAGAATTTTTTATGTTCACGTTCCGGACGGGTCAAATTTCAACGTAGTCTACCCGGAAGCTTTGCGCTGAAGTATTTTCATTCTATATGTACTTAAGACTCATGTGAAAGCGATCTAAACAATATTACCAATACATTAACATAATAACATACAAGGAGTTACACGCTGATGGTCTCGGGGCACAGTGATAATAATAATATTCTGCGGTTCCTTATTGTGATATTTTTAACAGTATTATATTTCCCTACTAAAATACGAAAGTTAATCTGTCTGTCACATCAAAACCACGTAACACATATGCTACTTTTTTACGAAAAACGACGATAACGCGGACGAAGTCGCGGGCAAAAGCTAGTTAGTAATAAGTTTTTCTCGATTGAGGGTCTCTTGTCCTCAGCTGACTAAGTCCTTCGTCTGCGCAGACCATTACTACCTTTATAATTTATACCGCCTGTTATTTTAGTTGTGTAATTCTAAATGAATATTTTGTAATTACTTACGTGAGAAAGTGTATCTCTACTTAGAATTATCATAACGCTTACGCCCGGACACAGAGATGACAGTTCAATTTAACTTCTTGCTTGTCAAGAAAATTATAGAATCATAAATAAAAGAAAAATACTTGTCGTAGTGCAGCAGTTAATGTATGAAGATACCAAAGGATCGAAGTTCAAATTGTAGCTAAATATAACACACACACACATCAGAGGCCCAAACACGAACTTTGACAGCTCCGTATTCGTATGGCATCGTGAAAGTTTCTGTGAAAACTAAGTAGCTCCCCGGCTAAGTAGCTCCCCTTAGCTTCTTTACAAAATTTTAAAATTGACCTCCGAGCATGACTGCTACGCAAGTTATTGAACTCGGCATTGGCTTTAACTTATCCCAAAAGTACCAAATATGCATGAAGAAAGTTCACTTCAAAAATCTTGATACTTTGAGATTTAAACTCATTTCCGTTGTTTGCTTTCCAGAACCAGACGGATGGCAGTCAAATTCCGCTGCCCTACAATTTCCTGATATCGTCAAACGGTCAGATGTACGAGGCGCTTGGTTGGCGTCGTGTATCTCCCCTATTTCCTCAGCATTCGTCATCAGCCCTCATCCTAGCATTTATTGGTGAATATGATATTATAATTAACTATCTTTTAAAGGTTTCTCATAGGTGTGCGGGTGTCTTAATAAGAGACGTGAAGGTGTTTCGAAAACAGCGCGATTACGATAGCTGCTTCTGGTTTTGCAGACGTCCATAGGCCATCATCATCATCCTATTAATATCCCCACTGCTGGGGCCCAGGCCTTCCATATGGTTGGAATAAGGACATGGTGCCGTGGCCCACGTTCGCCGTGTGCGTATTGGTGGTTGCTAACGACTGCAGATGCAGTAGGGCAAACGGCTTAACGCGCTTTCCGAAGCACGGAGGAGCTTGAGATAGTAAATTTTTGGTCACCCATCCAATGACCGACCACTACGAAAGTTGCTTAACTTCAACAATCAATCAACAAAAGTAAATATGCCCTTTAGTACCACGTAAATGTTTTATGTTTTTTTATTACCTGTGCTTTATTTGAAACAGAAAATTTGTATGATTCCGAGCTTACGATACTAGAAAACTCAGTATCGGACTGTTAATATACCAACGCTATGCTGTATTGCTCTATGTAATTAAAAAAAACTTTTCTTTTTATTTACGACGGATATATTATATAGCTTCGCGGGCAAACCTTTTTTTTTTAAAGGTTTAATGTAGTCTGTCTAATGAACATTAGCACTGCAACATTAGAACTGCCACTTTGACGTTACGAATTGGCGAGTTGTTGGGTGGGTGGGTTTTGATACTTTCGTTTGGGTAACTATTTTCTTTCTTTTTCTTTTATCATAAACATTGTTGTTGGTTTCTTTCAGAAAGTGTAGACAATATAGAAATCTAAAGAGAGAGCAATATTTAGAACCGATATTATCAATGATAGGTATTTTCCTAAAAAATTTGGGTAAATTGCCAGTCACTGGACACCGAATAGGTTATTGGAAAATCAAATCATTATCATCAATCATCAAAATCCGTCTACAAATCTCAGAGCTATGAGGTTAAAAAATATACCTATGTAGCTGTATTGAGGACCACCACCATTTTTAAAGTCGGTTATAATGTTTCATTAATCTGTTAATTTTAAAGTATCAAGTCTATTTTGTCCCTATAAAGGCGGTGTTCACAGCTACAGAATTTTTAAATATGCCGCTCTTTTGAAGGGTCACGATTCATTAGACAGACTCTAACAAGGTTATTTAGATCAATTATTTTGTGAAGGCAATTATTGACAATGGACAATTTCCTCAACCGTGTCAACTTTTTAAATCGTCGTAACAATAATCGTAAACAAATTTTCATGGTTGCATTTTCCTGTTTAAAAACTAACTAGGTAGTAGTATATAGAAGCAACTATAACAATAAGAGGTGAGAAAAGATTTGTAAATGTTTTAAGCAATTCAGGAATTGTTCACTATATTTAGAAGCTGAAAAAGAAGAAAAAAGGGTCGATCGAGATCTATTGAACCTTTTTTTTATTCTTTTATGATAATTTCTTTTCCTCAGTTTTTTTATCATATTGTGTCGTGCTTACGCAACTTTCCATTGCACAGGTGACTTTTCGAAATCTCCGCCGGCGCCCGCTCAGCTCGCTGAAGCGAATAACTTCTTTGCTGAATCTATAAGCCGACAGCACCTATCGCCATCTTACATAATATTTGGTAGGAAGACTAAACAATTGCCCAAATATTTGTATTCAAGTATGCAAACTCTGCCGCAGTGGAGAAACGATTTAACCGACTGATGTGATATTTAGATGTAAGCTAGTTGATAAGCAGACCGTGCAATAAATAGATATGTAGAAAAATAGTGATTCAATAACAGCAGGACAACATTTTGTAAAAAATACTCACTATTTCTCTGTTATTTGGTATAATACAAAACCTCATAGAAATTTATTTCCAGTTAACTACTATTGTACTTACTGTACTATTGTTTTACTAATTATTATCAGATCAGTTTGTGTTATTACGTACAAACCAGTCACGGGTCAAGTTACCCAAAAAACTATAAGTTTCTTCAACTGAATTTGAGCTTTATTTTGCTCGCTATAAGATTCATGCTTTAATGACAATGACGATAGTTTGTGGTAACTTGAGGTGGCTGTCTGTATATAGCCAGATATTTTTTAAGTGCAATAATATTAAATAAATAAAAATCAAATACTTTATTCATAAAAAAGTTTAACACTCCATAAAATAATCTCAACATTTAGCAATTTAATGGTTATCAATGGTTAAGTGTTCATTAGTGATTAAAAGTCTGAGATGCTGCATAATAAACTTAGTGTAAGAAAAAAACAAGTAATTTAATATTTAACTTACTTACGGATACTATAAGGATGACAGAAACAAAAAAATAAACAATATATGGTTATAATATTTAGTTTTTAAACATGTAACTGCTTGATGTTTAAATCTAAAGAAAATATTACTAGAAAAAAATCCACGCGGACCAGGCAGCAAACGGGTCTCGAATCTGCACACTTCGCTATCCGGGCGAATGCACTGACCGCTGCCCTGATGGCCGTGTCGCATTCTTTATAGCCCTTCTTAAGCTGCAAAGCAGCGCCATCTCTTTGCATTGTATATATGGTATTTCCTGTTCATTACATTTAAAACAGAAGTGTTTAAGTGTTAATATTTTAAACAGAATAATGGATTAAAGAAAGAGAGCTGAGATAGCAACAAAATCCATATCGATCCTTTCTACTATTACCAATAAAGTCGGATAATGATACTGCATTTCTAAACATTCCAAAATATGTTAAATCCGTTTTTTATATTTTTTAGACATATTTTTATACCATTTACGTTCGTAATGGAAAGTGACTTGAAGTAATTATTAAATTTTTGAAGTGAAAGCTTCTTTAGCGGCGTTGTACACTTTTTTTGTAATGGGTAAAAATTGTTTAACTCTCGTCCTACTCCGACCTAATCGAAAATTCGTAAGATGAAAACAATAAAATGAGGGCTACCGTTTTCTGCCTCACCAGATGGCGCCACTGTTGAGTGAGGTCCTAAATTGTAACTTTTAAAGTTTGTTAATACGCACATGAAATCAAAAGTTACATTTAGATCGTATTTTAACACAAAAGAACCATATCCTAAACATAATAGGCCATGCCACAGTGACGCCCAGTTCCGTTTTATTCGGAAAAAATGGGAACATAATCATTTTTCTAAGCTCAAATTTTTAATAACTGACATTCATTGCCACATAACTCATATTTGCCATAATTAAGCCGAATTGTTACCAATTATTCACAACATTATTTTAATAAGAAATAAACCCGCGTAGTCAACCAACAAGCAATAACATTTGACATTTCGGAGACCTCACGCTACACTAGCGCCTCTAGCGGCGGATTCATACGCGATAGTCCTCATTGGAATGGTTGCTGACTTTCAATATATTGGATGAAACATAGTAATATTTTATCCTATTATAGTAATAAGGTTCTATCTAGGACGTCCAGGTGGCAGCTTTATTGCGAAGAAAATGTGTTTTTTTTTTTACAATAGATGTCGCTAGGTGCGCTGAAATGTGATTCTTGTAAGTTGATTTTTCTGAGAGATAAACTTTTTAATGTAATATAAATTGTCATGTTTGTGTACGATGGCGCAGTAAGCGTATTCTACCACATAAATTATAGTACTTTTATACTGATAATTAAAGCAATTGTTCAAAATTATTCCCTTATCATTCCAAAGTATCAAAAATGCACAACGTTAATATTCAAGTTTTCACTTCTGCCTTCACTCCCGGAGTGCAACCCGTCGTTTTTTTTTTCAATTTATCGGCTGTATATAATGCAGGAAGAAAAAAACAGCCCTTGTTGAGATTCTTGCCGGTTCTTCTCAGTACAAGGGCACCCGCCGTAGATTTGCGAACCCATGGCGTAGCTTTTCGACATTCACAAGTCCTTGTAACAGCCTAGACTATAAACAATATTGAATTTTGCATTATTACTTTTTAATGTAATTGAAAGAGATAGACAATACATGCTCATGTCAAAGTGATAACCTCGTATTAAGATTTTTGAAAAAATTATAAGGCTCTATCTTGCTTTTATATCACTTGCAAATTATATATACGTTACATACATACCTTTGTTTTCTTTTTTAATCTGATACCGATAGTTTTGATCTACTTGTCTAACCAGCTTTTATTTTAGCACTCTTTCTTCGTTTTCTAATCATTTAATGATGACAAATAATGATGAATGATGTTAAACTGTAATTAGAAATACGCGTATTCTTGTTTTTTACACACAGTTTTTTACAAATTATACTATATAAATCTTTTAAGTTAAGTTTTCTATAGTGCCGTATTTAATTGTTCTCTATTATGTATACAGTGGTGGTCACATAATTAAAGACACCCCCTAATTAACCACAAAAAACATACTTATGGTACTAACATTAGCTAAAATTGTTATTAAACCATACACGACGTTGTATTCTTACAATGTGGGACAAAAAATACACACTGCTCAGTATGGGAACGTAACACAAACTTTTTTAACGTACTTGTAGCTGGCCAGGTAATTAAAGACAGTAAAAGCTGTGTTCGGAATTTAAAAAAAAAAAGAAAAAACTGCATTCTGTTTTTCTTTGTTTTGCCGCGTATTTTCATGAAACGTCGATATTAAATATAAAACCTAATTTTTTAATTAAAATTAATACGTTTTAAACCCAGCAATATGAGAAAATACAAGAGTTGCGATTCGTCCACAAGGAAGATTATTTTCAACTTTCATAATAAAGATTGATGACACAGAAAAATAGCAAACAACTTGAACTGTTCTAAGGACATGGTTATGAATGCCATTTAAAACATTTCAAGAAGTTCAACACGACCGAAAACGTGCCAAGAGAAACTATTCTGCGGGAATACTCTAAGATGGTGTTGTTGACAAAAAAAGATCCGTTCAAGGGATCAGCAGGTCAATTATGCTTTAGTGATTGATATAATCCTTATTAGGATTATCATATTTGATGTCAATGTGATGTTGATGCCAAGTTGACATTGTTTTTAAATGGTATTATGAAAAATTCCTATGTCACATCAAGATCATATCAATATCATATCCTGTATCACTTTTTTGACGTTTATGCGATACTGTTTTAAGTCAAAAAGTTGAACGTAATACGCATTTAAGTTGATATCATTTTAAAGAGTTGATCATAATACGCATAAGTTGATGTCTAGTTGATGTCATTTTGATATCGCATTTTTCGGGGAGCATAATACGTTATTGTGAAATTGACATCAAAACAATATCACAATTGGCGAGCATAATTGGCCTGCAGAACTGATACGTTCGAACTGATACAGAACACAGCTTTTACTGTCTTTAATTAGCTGGCCGGCTACAAGTGCGTTAAAAAAGTTTGTGTTATGTTCCCATACACTACTAACGAACACATCTATATTTTGTCCCACATTGTAAAAATACAACGTCATGTATAGTTTAATAACAATTACACTAGATTAAATACCAATTTTAGTACTGAAGAGTGTCTTGGTAGATTTTCGTTGAATGAAAAGAGCTTTACTTACAGTCTTACGTTTATTTCTTTTCCCATCCCTCACAATTATAACACATATTTGTAATCTTAAGTATAGTTTTCTTGCAAATGTTCTTCTACTATATTTGATAGCTGCCAACAAAGTGTAGCCCAAAGCCAATACCAAAGAGCCAAGCAAAGAGTAACATGACATCTCGTGTCTATCTGCCACAAGTACCTTATGTAAGTTTTTTATGGTCGATTACCGAGTGTCTTTAATTATGTGACCACCACTGTATATATATATATATATTATATTGTACCAATTTAAAAATATATTGCATTATTTTATTTATTAGTTTGTACACATAAAATAGGTAGTAAACAGAGGGCCGGATTCAAGGTAAGGCAATTAATTAATTAAAGTAATTCAATAGAGATAGAAGGGAAAAGGGATTTAATCACCGTAATTGGTCCGTCCCAGATTTGGGGTCCAGGGCCACACCTCTAAATCGGCCCTATGTTTAGTAAACATATAAGCTTTTAAGCTGGATCAGCGCTTGTCAATATAGTATACCCTTAGATTAAAACAAAAAGAGAAGATACGGCACTCGCGGCTCAAAAGTGATCCGCTTAAATTGTGCTGTATGACCACAATTCGCTTTAGTCACAATTGGACATTCAAATACGCTGCATGAGCACTCAATATAACAATATTGCGTATATTCTATGTTATAAAGATAAAACAAAGCCTTCACAGCTTTTATAAAGATCACAAATAGTTCAAAATCAAATAACAAGTGCTTCGGCAACATTTTTTCTAAAAATCGCGGTTTGTCGTGTATTTTATTTTCGTAATCACCATATTGTTATCAAGAAAAGGAAAAAATACAGCTCAGCCTAGGGACTCGGAAGCAGACTCGCCGTTCGCTCGCGCTGCGTTGAAGCGTACAGTTCTGTCTCGCTCGATTGAATGTTTATATACAGACGTGTGCGTGTGTGGGAGTTACTTTTGTACTTGAGTCGGAACATATTTTATTTGATGCTAGTATGAGCGTACCGTATCTTCCCTTTTTGTTTTAATCTAAGAGTATACCTACCTCAGAGAGCACCTCCACTAGTGACTGGTATGTAGGGGTGGGCGTTTTTAGAATAGCGATGCGCGATAACGATGCCAGGTTTGGATGCGTGCATCCGATGCGACTGGATGCCGTTATTTAATGCCGATGCCATCTAGTTTTTGTCAACGTTACTATAGCAACAGTGCCACAAACTCATGTGCCGGTGAAGATGTCGCTAGCGGTGAACAAATATGTCATAAAAATGTCACAATGCTATGGATAAATTGTAGTTCCAATTCTTGCCACCGGCACTGAAAAGTTTGTGATACTACCTACGATACTGACATTCACTGGCATCGATGCGATGTGATCGGTGCGCGGATCCAATGCCATTTATCTGATACCGATGCGCATCGATTTCACAAATATCTAAAAACGCACATCTCTACTAGTATAGTAGTATGTAGAAAACTGCATAAGCGTATAAAAAGACCTTAAACGTCGCCATACATCGTTTCACCGAATCTGTCATCCGCAGGTGACGACACACTGACGTGTCCAATCAAAACGCGGCTTACCCTACCCGTACGCCGCCAACTTTGACTATTTCGATTTGAAACCAAGATTGAGTACCGCCTGCTCTAGTGGGAATGCCCTATGCTCTAACATCATAGTAAAACCAAATGCATACGTGTTTATTAATTTTCATTTGCTTCTTATACATCCCGGCAAACTTTTTGAGCAACCACCATAGACTAAGAAGCCTGCGCAGTATCAATTTTACATACTAAAGCGTCTACTGCACAAGTTTATTTGCCTGTTTTGCTCAAGACGTTTGCCGCTACATATACTTGCTTACTTTAATTTTGGTTTGAAACAACAATTTGGATCATGGTTGGTGTCGCGGGTAGTGAAGCCCGCTTAACATATATGCCATTGTGCTACATTTAAAACCAATCAATCGTTTGAAGTGTACCTAATAACAGCGTAACTTGCATAATACTAATTATTCTATACAGATCTAGGTATATAGATTTAAGTGTCACTTTCTTAAATTATACCAAAAATACCTTTTACCATACCTTTTTTACGTGTATTCATTCTCATTCGTTACATTAAATGTTCGATTGCCTTAATTTGTTAGGATCAGTTACATACTATTAATAATATATCATTAATTAATTACTCAATATAAGTAGGGACCTCGGTTTATATATTCATTATCTATCATTACGAAAAGTTTTAATAAAGGACGAGAATATAATACGTAGTATACACCCTGGCAAACTTCTTGAGCATCGACCATAGAGAAGGAAACCTGCGCAGTAACAATTTTACATACGAGAACGTCTGCTGCGCAGGTTAATTTATCTGTGGATTTGCTCAAGAAGTTTGCCGCTTCCTATGCCTAGTCAAATTGTTCGCTTTTATTATTATTGTATTCATATTTCAAAATCGTGTACAATTATCTGACAAATAAAACATATAAAAGATTAATTTGATTGTTTTTTTTTCTTTAAACTCGGTTAATATCGGCGTGACGACCTCCGTGGTCGAGTGGTTTGTACGCCGGGTTTCATAGTGTCGCCGACTCGAGAGGTCCCGGGTTCGAATCCCGGTGGGGGCAGATGATTGTGTGATGAATACGAGCATCTGTACTCCAGTCATGGATGTTTAATATGTATTTCTATAAAAATATACTTATACTCGTATATGTACAGTATATGTATTCTATCCGTTACCCTAGTATCCCATAACACAAGCCTTACAGTGCTTACTTTGTGGCTAGGCTAATTGGTGTGAGTGTTGGTAATATTTATTTATTTAACTAGCAACAGGTAGGAAATTTGATTGTTTTAAGAATTACTTAGGTTTTATTTATAATTTTTATTATTTAAGATTGTAACTGCTGGAAGTTTAAATCTAAAGAAAATATTACTGGAAAAAATCCACTTGGACCTGGCAGTAGACGGGACTCGAACCCACGCTTCGCTATCCGGGCGAATGCACTGATCATTATGCTACCGCAGCCCTGACGCGGCCGTGTCGAATTCTTTTTAGCATTTCTTAAGCTCGTCTTTCTCATCTTTACTTGTTTCAGCTATTTATTTGCACAGTGTAGAAGCACCTTTCGGTACCTTTATAAAAGTTTCTTTGGCACTACCCTACTCGGACAGAACGGGCAATCATAAGTCTCCGAGGATAAAATATTTGACGGAGGAAGTTGCACCTAATAAGTCTTTTGGTGTTGGCGTTTACTTTAGAAGCATATTAGGTATTTAAGTAAAATCATGTCGGTAATAACAAAATACTGTCGAATACTATAATAATTTCATGTTTCTATTAATAATTTTATTTTCTCCACCGTAATATAACAACTGCGTTTTTGCTACAACAAAATGAAACATCGTGTTTTCATTTATATAAAATCATTTTATTTAACAGAACGAAAGTAAGTATAATAGAACACATTTCTGCCTATATTAAAATAAAGCTAAAATCTAAGTAGGCGTATGACTTAAGGCGCTGACCCACGACCTGTGTTGTCGCGGGCGAGGCTGCGTAGCGCAGGGTTGCCGAACGTGTGAGAACTCTAACGTTCGAGATTTAGCAGTAACAATACATGATACGAGGTAATGATACAATGATACGAATAAGGATGCTTCTAGTGATGGCATAATGAACCTGTACTTACTGAGACGATCCTTTGTGGAGTGGCTATTTATTTTCTTTATGATAATATTTTTGGTTTGTGTACATGACACAAAAAGTCAACATTGTCCAAATCTCATATCAAAGTGTACGAGATAGGTATCTATCTACCTCGTATTATGTATAGATAATGCAAAATCTCGAACGTTAGAGTTCTCATACGTTTGGCAACACTGCGCGGCACGGCCTCCCCCGCGACAACACAGATCGTGGGACAGCACCTTCATAGAATAAACATTACATAAGCTTAAAATAAAGTGTGGGCTTGAGTAATAATCTAGGCTAAAAATATTTCTGTAAAAAAACTTACAGTTTAGGGAGCTAAGTTTAGTCTGACTTTTATTTACATGGTTTACGCGATGCGATCATGCATTACAAAGTATGTACATCTTCAAATATGCATTATTGTGTATTTGTTTTATTCCAACTTGCTACGTCGAATGCACACATAGTAATGTCACAAAATATACCTACAACATTTTGTGATATTATCTAACCTTCCCCTAAGTTTACCTTTCCCTACTTCCGCTACCTTAGGTCAGGAGGTGCTTACAAAATAATATGGGTAAAACAATGAATGTCCACAAATGTAAAGCTAACATATAAAAGTCCTCGAAAGTGTAAAAGTTGTATCCGTAGAAAATTATCATTGACTATTCAGGGTTGTGTTTAGAGCCTACAAAAATATTGCAGTATGACATCGACTTCACTTCAAACAGGCTCAACAGGAAAAAATCTGATTTTATGCAGTAATGTCGCCGTTTAATGGGCTGAATTTATTCATGGCGTGTGAAATGAAGTCTGTGTCTATTCAATTCGCAACTCTAAACATCCAATGAAATCAGTACTGAACCAAACGTTTTTACAGAATAATGTAACTGCACCAAACGCAATTGTATCAATCAACTCTACGTCTATTTTTTGACACATAGAAAATTGACCACGTAACATTAAATAGGTTTTTATGTATGAAATTAGAGTATGTTACTACGATATTTAATACCCTAGATACACCACGTGCGCTCAAAATGTGTCCCAATCAAGAAGTGCTTGAACACCACTCAAGCACTTCTTGGTTTACAGTCACGCGCGGACCGTTGAAAAGTCAAGATGCCGCAGAGCTCCTTATAGTACGTAAAGTGTCGTTTTTTCCACAAGCATCTAATCAATGTTGATAATTTAACGCATTTGAAGCAAATTTTGTTCTTATACTTACTACTAACTGATTTAATAGAAAATATTTGTATTATTCAAATGCATGGTCGGTAAATATAGCCGTCTCTTTTCCTCGCGGTCCGTACCTGCTATATTGCTAACAGCGCGTTCAGAATTGCGTGTACAGACAAAGAAATAAGGTCTATATTCTTCGTAAAAATTTACGAGCTTGCATTTCGAATTGTCATAATTCTTTGACGCATGCGTTTTAATTAAGACCTTATATAGTATGCATTTAAGGTGACTTTAAATGTTAAAATAATGCCTTATATTTTTTTACTACGCGATCATGTTACGGAGGTCCATGAATTGCCCAATGTACCGTTTGGATAGGTTTCGGCCACGATTTCGTTCGTGATGTTGTATCTAGTTGTATTTATTATCGTTGAATGTTAAAACCAATTTTGTTTAACGCGCTTGTAGCAAAGCCCTTTAATCTGATGAGGACAGTATCAGATATCTAAGCTTATGGGGTAAGTCATTTTCTCCGTAAAACTGGACGTAGCAAACCAAACGGAAACGTGTACGTCTTTATTTTCATATACATTTCATAGTGTCAATTCAGTTCAAACTAAAAGCCGGCAGGTCTAATATCTAACTTGCAACTGTTTACATAGACAAATCATTTGTGCTGTTCGCGACCACTTGACGCTAAAACTCGTGAAAGCTAAAGATACCTCTCGTGACCTCCGTTTATATTCTAAAACATGATGAAGATTGCGCTTTGCATGAGATTTCATTCATAAACCTGAATCAGTTTAAGCGATCGCAAAATGCTATTTCTTACATAGTAGCCCTGCTCAGCTAGATACATTATCGTGTGTCATTCACCAAAAAAAGACACTATTACTTTTTGACGATGCGTCATCGCACCGTCTCTGCTCTTTTATCACGTAATCGTCTTAACGTGTAGATTAACCTAGAAAAAGTGGTACTTCAATCTATTTCTAGTTTTCTAAAGCTTCCTTCTACAGAGCCTGTATCTTTCAATGGCTTGCCTCTTGAGGATAAAATCCCTCTGGTGCTTAGAATTTCCATTTCGTTCAAAGCGCACACGTTCTTCCTTTGGTCGAACAAAAGCTGTCTAGTGTACGCGACCATATCATGCATGGGAATCTTTCCTCCGTGAACAGTTGGAAGACACGAGGGGTCCAGGCATTTGTGTAAATGTGACTGGTTTGAGTGAACCTGAAATCATAATAATTTATCATTAAATACTTCGCCACCCTAGTTAAAAAATAATAATGTCTCCATGCTAGGATAGCAAGAATTCTATCTTAGTCTGGTCTAGAGGAATAATCTAGAGATTATAATGCATTCATAGTCAAATGAACTCGGAAACGAAACTCGATCGCTCTTTTAGGCTGAATAAAAAAGAAAAGACATGTAGGCCATAACTGATTTACTGCGCTTATTTGGGCGCCCATCTGAAGTAATAACCTCCTCCTTACAGTAGACCAAATATAATAAGTACTAATAACATTAACTCTTCGTGGTGTTGTTTTTCTGTAGGTGAATAAGATGACAGAACTTCACGGGGTAGGAGATAAATTCGGCAAGGTGGGGATAGTTCAATCAAGTCCTTTGCAGATTTGTTGTATGTTGTTACAAGGCCAGTAATGGCTACAACAAATAACTTCGATTTTCTTTTATCCTTGAAACAATTTCTTATATAGAATCCTGTCTGAATATAAATCAACAAACACTTACATATACTCGGTCCGCCATTTTCGGTGTAACTTTGCTTTTGGCGAAATCGATGACGTATTTAACAGCTACAGGTATATTGATAAGGTGGAACTCTTGATGACGCATAGGTAACGATTGCTGAAACGATTAAAAAAGTAAGGTTATTACTAAATATGATATTGTCAGAGTACCAGGGGTTGTAACTCCTAACTCAATATTTATTATCGATTTATATCGCGAATTTGGTAATGTCGTGTCCTACTTAGAGTTCGATGAACAACAATAAGTAAATAATATCCAAAATTTGGGAAAGTCAACTACGCACGCTGCACCCAGGTCAAATGAGTGATACCTATACTTGGCCTGCTAAACTAAATATTACATTTTTGAATGACTTTTTTTCCAAATTAATGAAGTTAGAGATTTAAAATTAAAAAAATGTGTGCACGGACCATGCATCTGAAGTGAAACTCCTTTTCTTAAATAACCTAACATTAGGTGGTGCATAAGGCATAGGGGAATGAAGCAGCGCACGCATCACTCATATACATATATTGTCGCATGTGACACTCGTGACGCTAGTAGCGTTTCAGATTTCGCCGTGTTACCCTCAAACTATCATGCTTTTCGGGAAGAGTTGAACACGCACGTCTTGTTGCGCTCTCGACCCATATTATTACAATTTTAAAAAGTTTGATACTTAGTTTTGCAGGTCAGTGTAGTTCAATGAAATTATATTACAAAATGTTATAATACTTAAATGGTTTTATGAATGATGAGGATGACTAAACTTCTGCGTTGATTTCGAGATTCTTGTTATGTCATAAGTGTTCATAATAATGACGTCAAACCTAACCGGTCTAAGCCTTGCTTTACTTAAAGTAGGTCAAAATCAAGACTGGTTCGTGTTCGTTAAATGTTTGCGAGTTTATTATGATTATGAAGTGCCATCAGAAACATGGTAGTAAGTATCTGAGTATTGCTTCGGTTTAAATTCTAAAAATACTACTTCGGTTTCAAACTGTATCACTTGTTTTTTTTTATATCTTTGTAGGTAAGCATATAACTGTTTGTTTTATTATATCTAAAGAAAAGAAATCATAGAAACAATCTTCAAAGGTAGAGCGGGAAATAAATAAAATTTTCAATAATTTCTTAACTATAAAAACATACTACTTAGTTGCTGTCATCCACGTTTTTTATTTAGGCGACAATAAAAGTGAGTAAGTATATTTTGAAATGTCGATAAGGATAAGGCCAAAGTTTATTCAGTCACTTTTAATCAATAATTTAAGTATAACCCATTTAAATCGACCTCTATAAAGGAGGCTAAACTCCAAAGCGCAATCTACATAGTTTGCATGTGAAGTATCAACTATCTATTTGCCATCACTAACGTGTCCACGCAAACATATGGATATGGTTCGCTGACTGGAAGGTTTCAATTAATCATCCAAGCAATAAAAAAGCGAATTATGGGGCCGCACGCTTACTACACCCTAACACACATGAGTTTAGTCAACATTATGCAACCAAAAATTAATTACCTACGCCTTTGTACATACTCTCGATCTGTCGTAAGCTTTAGGAAATGAAAACGCATACCATTCATCATAATCTCACATTGACATTCAATGGAAAAAATAATTTTGGATATGCCTATCTCTTGTTCAATATTTTGATTACAAGTAAAATCACGTGAGATAAATAACAGATAAGTAGTTAGGTATATATAAATTTCTTGGGGTTCCCAAGAAATGTTGAGTACTAAGCGGTTCTTCTAAAAGTACACATGTATTGCATTTGAACGTATGATAAAATGTGCAATGTTTATATTACTAATTTAACTAATGTATTTCGTATGCACTTTTTTAATAAAATATTTTAAATCTTATTTTATGCAAAATTGTTGAGCAAAATGTATTTTAAAGAGGTACGAAAGTTTTTCTTTCAAGTACCTACCTAGGTGTAATACAGTAATTTACTACATTAAACTCACTTCTTAGGACAGATACTAGAATAATAGATTGAAAGGTCAGATATAATAATAGTACAGTATATTTAATTATTTTGATATGTAATTTGTACTTGTAAATTTATCAGGTGTAGATTTTTTTCCATTTAAATGAAAAACTTAACAGAAAATCACACGACGAGAAAAGTCCAAATAAGGAAATGTGCGGGCATTCTGCTCTTAGTAGTTTTGGCGGTTTAACAATCACAATGGCTAGTCTTTCTCACAAACCAGTTCGGTTACGTTCATAGCAAATATAATTTGTTTGTTTTGGAAAGTGACAGGCCTAGCTAGCCTTGCCCAGATTTTAGTCTATTAGTCCCATTTTTCGCATAATATTATATAAGTTTTTGATCATTACCATATCTATGTATTGGCAAACTATTTGTTTAAAAAATATGTGTAAGGCGCCTGAGTGAGGCCAAAATGTTTTCGCGTAGATTTTATATCTATCGTTATAATTAATTTTTATAGGTATCCTTGTACAATCTTCTTTCTTTAGAAAAGTTTTTGTGTTTTTTTTGGAAATGGAACTATATTTATATATCACACTAATTTATAAAGGGGAAAGTTTGTGAGTGTGTATGTTTGTTACTTCTTCACGTCTCAACGGCTGGGTCGATTTTAATAAAATTTGGTATGGAGTTAGCTGACATCCTGAATTAACACATAGGCTACGTTTTACTGCGGGAAAATATTCCAAATAATAAATCTGGGTGTTCTGGCGTAGGTATTTTAAAATCTAACGTCTGGGCCATTTAAGATTTGTTAAGTATACTCCGGGACACATCTAACGGCCCACTTACTGTTATAAGTTTCAAGTAGCAGAAATATAAGTTTATTTTTGATCAAATAAATTTTAAAAACATACAAATATATTGTTAATGAAGCAGCTTCAAAACTGCGTAGGTTATAACTTTATGCGTAATGTAACATTTATTTTTGGTCTAGTGCCCGTTGGACCCTCAACATTCGATCCGAAAGCAATAAGTGCCGATTGGACCTCAAATATATTGCCCATTGGACCTCAATTATATGGCCCATTGGACCTCTATTATATGGTCTATTGGACCTCATTATATGGCCCGTTGGACCTCAATTATATGGCTCATTGGACCTCAATTATTTGGTACATTGTACCTTCCTAAGTTTTTTTATATTCAATGTAGGGGCTGTCCTATATAAGTGTGTTTAAATGGTTATCCTACAGCACTTCCTACACACTATGTTTATTTGGTATATGACCAATTTTTCCTTATGTAATACTTAGTGATGCAAAACCGGTCACTCGATATAGAAAAGTCGGTCAATACTGTGTGCGTTCGTCATTATCACGTTTTTCGTCAATTTTCACAACGTACGTAACGTTTCTCTATGTTTTATCAACAATACACCTATTACTTACATCATCCTTTCTTTGTCGTCAATAACTAAAATGCATGCTCGTTACATGTAAGTTTATGACCACAATTCGTAACTGGATTATAAAAACGAATGTTATATTACAAACTTTCAAATGAGCTTTAGGAAAACAGATTGGAAAAAATAACATTAAACTAAATAAACTTAGAACTCTTTCTCATCTTGTGTTAACAATTGGTCGGTGGGGTTTCAAACGGCGACGTGGGCCCCGATGACCCCACCGCCGCTGCCAACGTGCCTCACGTCGCAGACCTATTCTATGATAGGAAAAGATGAAAGTTAACTGCATGCGCTAGAAAGTAGCTCACCTCTTCCCACTTAGGCAGGTCAAGTCGGTGGGGTTCCATACGGTGACGTAGGCCCCGAGCTGGTGACCCCGCAGCTCTTATCGATCTGGTCTTGCGATAAAGAAGTCGATCACCCATGTTACGAACGGTCATGACGAAAGATGCTTCACATTTAAGAACTAGCTCACCTCTTCCCACTTCATGAGACGCGGCAAGTCGTTGGGGCTCCAAGAGGTGACGTGGGTCTCGCTGACTTCGCCGCCGCTGCCGAAGTGCGTGACGCCGCAGATCTGATCGATCGGGTCTCGCGATATACAAGTATTTCGCCTATCCTGCGACCGACCATAACGAAAACCAGCTCACCTCTTCCTTCATAAGGCGTGAGAATTCGGTGGGGTTTCAGGCGGTGACGTGGGCCCAGTGACTTCGCCGCCGCTGCCGAACTGCGTGACGCCGGAGATCTGATCGATCGGGTCTCGCGATAAAAAAGTCGTTCGCCCATTCTGCGACCAACCATAACGAAAACCAGCTTACCTCTCCCCACTTCATAAGGCGTGCGAAGTCGGTGGGGTTCCAGGCAGTGACGTGGGCCCCGGTAACCCCGCCGCCGCTGCCGACGTGCGTGAAGCCGCAGATCTGATCGATCGGGTCTTCCAGCAGACTCTCGTAGATGGTGCAGTGCACGCGGCATATATCCCAGCACGTCATCTTACTGGGATTGTACTTGCCTGTGATAGAAGGATAATGAGTACTATTTAAGGAGCACTGTCGAGTTACGTTCAATTTTTGTGAAAACAATTTGGAACTCTTTATGAAGTCTGAATTTATCGGAAGTTCGAAGAGTTTAGTTAAATAATATTTTGGTTATTTTTGCACGGAAATATCAATATAATACCTTTCCAGTATTTTAATAGACTTATATAAGTCAGTACAGTCAAAGCCATGGAAGTTCCGTAATGGAAGTTAATTACTTCACTTCACATGAAGGAAAAGCAAAAAAGTGATAGCAAATACACAAAAAGAATACAACTTGCAGGAGAATCCAAATTTTGCTTCTTCTGCGATCCTATTATCACATTATGGAGCTTCTAAAAAGAGCGGAAGTGTTGAAAGTTGTAGGTACTTATTACAGCCTCTTAGCTTGTTTAGTGCCTACGGCTGGCATTCATATTTAAAACTATTAAATATAGAATTTAGTTGCCTTTTGTCTCGTTTCGATAGATGGCAGTATGAAAACGGGTGTAGACATAAAAACATTGTGATAATAATATCATAAAAAGGAAAGATTTAATTGTTTGTTTGTATTGAATAGGCTCCGAAACTACTGGACCGATGTGATAAATTCTTTCACATTTAGAACCTCACATTATTCCTGATGAATATAGGCTATAGAGTATTTTTAAAAACGTTAGGGTTCCGTATGAAAACTCCAATAATAATGTAACCCAATGTGTCAAAAAAATACCAAAAATAACCCTATATCGCGTAAGCTGCGGAAATCATTGATAATAGAGGAAAGTGATATACTAAAGTTTTATAGAGGTTATCAATAACAAAAAAATATATTATATAGTTATGTTACAACATCTATAAAATCTCCTGCTTTCACTAAATTGAAGTCAAAACTAAAAAGCTGAGCGATAAAAATAAAAACATGATTCCTGCCTATAAATAAATAAATAAATATATTTCCAACACACACCAATTAACCTAGCCCCAAAGTAAGCACTGTAAGGCTTGCTAGGGTAACGGATAGAATACATATACAGTACATATATAAGTATATTTATATAGAAATACATATTAAACATCCATGACTGGAGTACAAATGCTCGTATTCAACACACAAACATCTGCCCCCACCGGGATTCGAACCCTCGACCTCTCGAGTCGGCGACACCATGAAACCCGGCGTACAAATCACTCGGCCACGGAGGTCGCCTATCTACCCATAAAACAATGGTGCGTCCGAAAACGATTGTGATATCCTGTAGTTCAGTAATCTTCCGGTTCTTCGGTGACATTCTGTTATTCAATTGAACCTAGATTCTTACCTACCTAAGTAAACATGCACACATTGTGAATTACAAATCGACTAGATATTCAATCGAGCAGAAAACATTGCTAATGTTATTGTGATATCTTTAATCTTTTCTTTTTAATGCCAATAAGGACACGCAAAATGTTACATTTTGTTATATTCAAGTACTTGCGCGTGCTAATTAACAGTTCTTTATTATGCGCAATACGAGTAGGTAAAATAACGCAGTTTATATTGGCACATGGGCAATATGTGGACTAAATAAGTACAATTTGCGTTACGGCAGCATAAATGCTGTTTTGTAATTCGAAATGACCTAAAAACGACTTCCGACCTTAATATCAGTAACTAGGTACCTCAAATTTTGATAATGTTAAACAATTTTTTCTTACTCATGTCATACACGATGACCCGCCGACCCTTGCTGTCACGTACCGGCGATACCACAACGTACCTTGAAATTAGGAAAACATAATGAAACAGTATACTTAATATTCAAAATCTAGATATTACACCAAATTCGACACAGTTAAGTTTTAACGCTCGCCACGAACATTTAAAAGCATCATCGCCACTAATTAAGCATAATTAACACGCATTTGAAGTGGAGGAGAAAGCTATATTAAAATGTTTGACAAACATAAATTAATGTACTTATATAGGTACTTTGAAATTGCGACACAAGGCACATATCTAGGGAGATTCGCACGATTCGTTATACATACTCGTATATGTTATGAAAATGTTATGTCATTAGAAATTCGTGAGTTCAAGGCTGCTTACGAGTGTACGTATGTAGTTCTCATGAACTCGAGAGTTGCGTGGCATAGATTAATATCTTGTAATCGTTATGGTACATATTAGAGTAATGATTGTGAACAATGATACTGTCAGCGGTATAATCTTGTGGACATATGTTATATTGCAACATTGCCATAATAAATCACAGTGTTAGTGGGTTTATTATCTGCACAGACACACACTTAACTACATATTTTAGTCGCATGAGCCAGTTTTTTTTGTTATTTGCAAAGCTATTACCTAATTTTTACGCAGAAAAGAATCTATTCATAAAATCAGTCGCAATCGCTCAAGTAAATAAGTGTCTGCAAGTTGCAATTATCAGTACCTTTAGCACGAATCAATATCGAATTCGTATCGTTTGCGAGTCCGAAATGTCATTGTCAAATGTGTACTGATTTTTAGTTCTCGTTACGTACTTTGTGCCGCTGCTGTGCAAGTTTCCATACAAAATTTTACATTAACATTTCGGTTTGCAAACTATTCGAATTCGATAATTGTTCGTGCTAAGGGTACAGTTCTATGTACACTGTGATTCAATCATCAAAAACCAAAAGGCCGAGCAAGAAAAAGGCAAGATAAACTGCAACTGCAAGTTTTGCAGTTTTTCTTGCTTTTTTCTTGCTCACATATAGCGTTATTTTAAATTTTACAATCAAAATTATATCGTGCGTAATATATAGTTCTATTCACCCTATTTGGATCATATTCTGAACTCTTTCGTCTTCGCAGTCCAATCTGGGGTGGAATATTTCAGGGTAGTATTGGCGCAGGTTCAAATATTTCAGAAGTGTCTGTTGAGCCATCGGGATGCTGTATTTCTTGTGCCGCAAAAATCTTAGCAAGAATGATTCATCTGAAACAGATAGTTAAATGAGATGCTGAACTTGGCCTAGTGGCTAAGCTGTTTGTTAAATCAAATTGCAACGCTACTGTTCAATGCCTTATAAAAATCGAAACAGTTATCACACTCCATAAATAACGTGAAACTCTTAAGATGTACTAAGAGATCAAAGTACATAATATTTGTAGCATTTGACGGGAATCAACAGCTAACATTGTGTCCCATAACACAAGCCTTACAGTGCTTACTTTTGGCTGGTCTAAAAGGTGCGAGGGTAATTTCTTTTTGATGTGTAACATCTTTCCTCTCGCTTTCCTGCAATTTATGGGAGTGATTTCGTGAAATGGGACGGAAGTGTGGAACAGGAAGTCGCGAAAGCGCGCGCTATTTGATTTGATTTTAGAACATAATGTTTAAATGGCTTATTCCTTTCGTAGTAGGTATTATTTCTTTTTTTACAAATATAAGATGAGGTTTTAAATGTTACACATCATACGCTACTATTGTAAGGCTCGCTCGCATTGGCCATCACTTATAGGGGTCAGTTTTCGTTTGGGGCATTGTATAGGCGCTGAACCAGGATGTAACCAACTTGCTAACTATTTGCGATTGTCGAACAGTATCCATTTTTCGTCGCATATAACAATGTGATTCAATATGTCTTCGTTTGCGTGCCTCTTCTGCTCAAGAGGCACACAAACGAAAGCATATTGTTATTCAGGCGTTAAAACGCGAGGCACCTATTTGTAAAGCTTTTTTACCTTGCCAATTTTGACGCAAATAGACCAATATTGTTTTGATGCTAAAATCGAAAGCTGCTGCTAATTCAGCTGTAGATTGAGAATCATCAGCTTCCACAATCGCCTCTAATTCGTCATTGTCGACTGAATTTTCGGTCGACCACGGGGTTCATATCTTAGGTCGAAATTTCCAGAACGGAAGCAGATAAACCAATAACTGTTGGTAAGATCGTTTTTTATGTTAGGGAAATGCGTGACCCATTCTTCGCCTTCTGGTGAGAGACGAGTTTATGTGGGACTTCTCCCCCCCCCCCCAAATCCCGCCTACCTACTCAGCTAAGCCATGGTTCCGGCTAAATGGACGTTCGGGACAAGGTGGGAGCCCTACCCACTAAAAGATCCTCCACCTACCTTGCCGCACGTTTCTGATGTCCTTGTTCTGTTGGATCCACTCCCTCATGATGCGAAGGGCCTGTTCCCTGGTGGCCGGTGTCTCCCTCAACTCCTTGACTCTCTCCGCAGCAATGCTCTGCAAGGAACGACCCACTTTGCCGGTTTTCTCCGGCTTTTCGCTGGTCAGATTCCATGTCGTGGTCACCGTCAACAACACGCTCGCGGTCGTCATGCTGATTTACGGTGGTGTACAAATGCTGTAACAGAAACATTTAGTTTTAAACTTTTATGGTCACTAACATTATAGTAACATACGTGATTTACGGGATTCCATAACTCACAGATTATCTCGACCGAACGCCACCAAGAGAGGTGAGGGCAGCGAATTGAAATAACAAGGGGACGAAAGGGGACGAGAAGGTCAGGACGGGCTTAAGTTGTCGAGTGCCTGGAATCTTGTGGTTCGTATGTGTAAAAACCGGAATAATCAAAAAAGTGTCGTATCGCGATCCAATGCTGTAAGTGTTGTGTGTCGAGAACAGTGAATCAGTTTCGAGTGAATGGTGAGAGTGGTACGGGTATCGAACGCAATAAAAGTCTTCGTCGGAGGGTAGACCGATATGTCTGCCAATAACAGCCTACCCAGTTCTCCGTGATTATGGCGCTTGCAACAATCCGGAAATATCGAAAATTCGCTAAGAACAAGGTACATGGTAACAATCCCGTAAATAACTTATATGTATTACTATAAAGAAACATTTACATTTAAAAGACGGACGATTAGACGAGAATTCGATGGAAATATCATAAATGCTACGTCATTTATGATATTTCCATCGTATTCTTGTCTTCCTTAGTATTTATTATAATAATGATTATGTCAACAATAAGTAAATACCTATCTACTTCGGTATATAAATGAATGAAAAGGGTTTGAATAGCTGCATTTATATAATTGTACAGACTTGTGTTGAAATATAATAAAACAGTGAAGCAACGTTTCTTCAACAAGAAAATCGACTTTTATTGTGCACTAGTAGGTGCTCCCTTCGCTTGCGCAAAACAATTGTTTAGCCCAAGTTCCCCTTTTTTAATTTTTTTTGTAGGCTTCCTTTTGCTTCACCGAGTTCCTCATTAGTACTTGACGATATTTTGAAACAAAAAGTTCAGCGGTTGAAATACCTGGAAAAAAACCTTTGCAATCCATCTTAAAAAGTAGCCTTTTATCAAAAACTTCTTACGTAGCCTGTGCCTTAAGAGTTGGGAAACGAGACACAAGACCAAGCTGGCACTGGTATTTTCCCCGTGAAAATAAAAATATAAAAACTACGATAACTTGCTTGCTTTGTATAAAAACTAAACTAAAAAGTAAAAATTGTTCAAAATGTCATAGAGTTCTTCCGCTGGGTTACTTTATCTGGACAAGTATGTATTTTTTGCAGCTAAAGATGAAGTTTGTTTTGCGTGTACATCCTATTCATGCTAAATTAATATGTGTTGGAATCAAAGCCATAATACGATATCCATATTTATGAAAAAAGTTATTTCACAAAGGTATGAAATTGGCGTCTTGAATTTCTCAAATGTTCATAGTGTCAGACAGACTTATAACTTGTTATTCTTAGATCACAATAAATAAACTGGTTCTGATCTAGCATTTAGAAGTTATGGTGTAATAAAGAAACGTGCTCGTAAGTTCATACAAATATACTCAAGTGCCTACAAACATGAACATTGAAAACATTACATGTCTTTTATGGAAGTCATGTAAAATTATATTTCTCCGACAAAACTCAACAGTTTAATCTATACTTAGAAAAGTGGCTAAATTAATTAAAAAACTACACTACACAGTAAATGCTACCATAAAGTATTTATGGTCTACGGGTGGCTCGAGTAGCTTCTACTTTTATTTGAATTTTGAAAACTGTCTGAAAATATATATTAAGTATTATTATATTATTTACTACTAGTGGCCCGCCCTCGCTTCGCTTCGGTGTAGAGCTGTAGTGTAGACTATAGTTTTTGTTCAGAGGCTTGTTCATAATAATTATATCCTTACATTTTAAGTAAAAATTTATTGCGTAGTTTAGGACCAGTTGTACCGAATGCTCTGCTGTTCCAATTTGAAAAAATATTTTTGAACTGGATAGTGCATTCATCGAGGAGGGCTATATATAGGCTATGTAACATCAGGCTACGACTAGTAGCAGATAGAGAGCATAGATGAAAAATGTTGCTAAAACGGTTTAATAAAGACGTCACGTTTGGGTTCTCTCCAACCATGTCTTCAATTACCCTTTTATAAAGATCGGCTCGAAATCTTTCCAGCAGAAGCTTTAAAAGTGTATTTTTAAATAACTAATAATAATTTTCAAGAACAAACCTGAACAAAATTGGGTGCAGAAGTTGGTAATACATAAATCTTACAGTGAAATATTAGCGTGGCTGTAGGTTTTATATCTTTATTATTACATAAATCGGGTATTAGAAATTCATGATTTATTTTACACAGACTAGGTATTGCATAATAAGATTCTCACATATAACAGATTAAAAAATATATATAATAGATTAAAAAAAGAAGATTAAAAAAATATCATTTTGTAAACTTCTACTGCCAATTTAAATGAAACGTTTTGTTTTGAAATTTGGGCAGGTCTCTCATCAGTTAGGTAATCAGATCTTTTGCTTTAGGAAATTATTAGACTTGAATAGACTTGACTTGCTAGTACCTTCAACTAACAATACCGGGTTACAATTACTATTATACGGGTTTTCTAGTGAAACAATATTTATTAAGTAGTTACAAACATGTATTAATACATAATTCAACGCGTTGGAATCTTTTATAAGAAGAATAACTTGATAAATAAGCTGGTAACCTCGTTATGTGTCAGCTTTATTAAATCTACTCATCACATCCTGCGGCAAATATTCTGTTACTTTTCCAAGGGTGTGTATTAGGGTTTCAGGCCACCTCGCTGGAGGACCGAAGGCCCTGGGCTGAACTGCCAAGTTGGCAAACCCTTGCATCACCTCCGGCTTGCAATTCTCCAACTTCCCGATAGTCCCCGCCGCTTCTCTATACGCAGCCGGATGTATCCTCTCGATTTCACTCTGGTTGAAAGCACACAATATCTGCCTTAAAGCAATCAAATCGTAAAACGTATAATCCTCCGGCTCCTTTCCAGCGAAGTCTTCACGGACACGATCAGCTATCGCGGCCAACTGGTCTTCTTCCAAGCCGTAATTGAAACCGAAATTCTGAATTACGTCGACGTTGCTCAGCGTCAAGTTGTAGTAATCGTCGGGCGTCAAAGCCGGCGTGACCCAGTGGAGCAATATCATAACACTTTCTGGAACATTTGCGATACCACTGAAGAAGGTTACGATCGATTGCCATATGTAATCGGCTTCCTCTTTCAGTAATCGCTCTTTGCCTAAGTGTGCCAAGCACTGAACCGTTTCTTGGGGCTGAAGTGTCTGCAATTCGGCCAGCGACAGCTTTTTGCTATCGGGAAATTCCAAAACTTCATTGCACGTTAAACCATGTGCTATTATTATTTGACTCACAAATGTCATTATTAAAATCATGTTTTTTTATTCTGTAACTGTTCGGCTTTGTGCTCTTCCGTGAATGGTCGCAGGTTGAATAAAATGAGTTGGTGGGTTACTAATTGGCTTTCGTAGGAAACCAATTGATAATTCACGTTTCAATCAAGGCGGTGGCAACATAATCTATCAATATGTAAGTACCTTTCTGTCGTCGAATGCTAAGAAAGACGTCAGTAGTACCTACAAGGTGATTTTCTTTTTTTTTGTAATCTAAAGAAATGACGATGCCATGATGAAGTATTTACTTCGCAGTAAATTGTTTACTGAGAACTAGAAGAGTTATCCAGTAAAGACGCCAATGTCATTGTGGAAAATTGAACTTGGAATTGTGTGATGTGATATTTGTTTGATTGTTTTCATAGCATCGTGTGTGAGCGTGTGTGTAGCTCAATGAGGAAGTATAAACACATTAGTAGTGCTTGCATACCGACTATAAACTCAAAGCCATATAGCTGATTAAAATATTGCCAAGGGCAAAGGATTAAGTGCCAATTTATCGCTTTTCTTTTCATACAAATGCTTGGCACTTAAAGCTCGTAGGCCTGGTAATTTACGCAGGTTTATATTTGTTGTAAAAATTCTTTGATTAACCCTTTTGATAACAGAGTGTAACCTCATGTCAATCTCTTTAAATCCAATTTCATCAATTAAAACGAAATTGAAGTTGTCATCAATTCTGTGTTTCCTTTTTTATTCAACTTAGTTATATCGCGTGAGGCTAAGCAAAAGTATAATTGATAATTAAAAGTTTTAGCATTCTCACTAATTTTTAACGCAATTCAAAAGGAGCAGATATATGTAAACAGCAATCCATAAAATCTTGACGTTCGAACACGTTTAAAAGTCAATACCTAGTATGAGTGCAAATAAAGTTAACCTAACTAAACAATGCGCGATCAAATTAAACCTATACTTACCTACTTAAATTAATGTACCGGTAAATCTGCGAAGATCGCCTAACAACCGGTGAAAATCACCGGTTCTAGATCTAATCCCGCTCTGGCGCAAAACATCTAATTGTAGGTATAACAGGATATTAGACAATTAAATTAGCCACTATTGTAGAACAAACTGTTCTGGTTACCAGGCTATTTAACAGTAATGTGGTTAGGAGGTCTTCCACGATATCGTTATTAAAGACGTTTATAAATTAAAAATCATTGTTTTACCGTTGCAACCTTAGATATGCTCTAAGGTTGCAACACTTCGATTGCGATTTAAGCGGTCAACAGGCATATAATGTAGTCTGTTAAAATTGTATTAAAACTAGACACGAAAGGATTTTTGGTACTGTAACTCCCGACTGCATTAGGTACTGACCTTTACTGTTTGAGTCAATGCCTGGCAATTAATAGACTGACAGGCATATAGAGCGGGTCATTTGCTACTTTGGAACTCTGATTTTATTTATTTAATTACTAGCTGACCCAGCGAACTTCGTACCGCCCTAAAAAAAATGGGGGTTGTCCAGCGGACAAAATTGTGAATCTAAACCATTCTCAGATCCCCTTGGACACACAAAAAAAAAATTCATCAAAATCGGTCCAGTCGTTTAAGAGAAGTTCAGTGACATACACACTCACAGAAGAATTATATATATAAAGATTTACTACTGTCATGAAATGAAATTTTGAAATGAAATGAAATTTTGAAATGAAATTTTGAAATGAAATGAAATGAAATTTTGAAATGAAATGAAATGAAATTTTGAAATGAAATGAAATTTTGAAATGAAATGAAATGAAATTTTGAAATGAAATGAAATGAAATTTTGAAATGAAATGAAATTTATTTATTCACACAAAACAGAGTAGATACATTTTGGTGGTGATTTTCATTTAGTTCGTCCATTTTGCCAACGACAGGGCAAGCGAATGTCAAACTTAATTTAATTCTAAATTTTAAAGGTACTTATGTCATTTTACTTATGCTATTCTAAGTCAATTTCCGTTTCTAAATATTCTCTAACTGAGTAAAAACATTTCGTTATTAGCGACATTTTAAGCTTCCTTTTAAATATAGGCAAACTAAGCTCCGTTATCAAGCGTGGTAACTTATTATAGATTTTTATACCTACAATAAACCTAAACTTAAATTTGACAACAGTGTATCTAAAGTTTTGTATATATAAAGTTTATGTATATAAAGTTTAAAAAAAAATTAAAGTAGTTAAGTCAACTTACTTACTTACTTTATTTTTTTGTCAGTTTAATCATCATGAAAAGCAACTTTCTGTATTCAGTAAATTTTTAGGATATTTGGTTTTAATTATGAACAACCAAAAAAAGAAGAACTAAAATAACATTTATACGTCACAAAAATACTGTTTAACTCTTGGTATTACATAAAATATAAACTGTGTTTTACATGTTTAACAAGTAAGCAAAATCTGAAATCTGTGTGTTAAAATTTCATAAAAAAAATGTCTGAACGGCCCGTTCATTAATTAGAATTATAGTCGATATTTAACCCCAATAAATAAACAGTAAATTGTAAAATAACCGATGTTAAGTTAGGTTATTTCTTTTAATATCCTATTAGAACAATGAACAATCTTTATGCAAAACTTCACTTCAATTATTTAATGTTGAACATTAACCTTTTATTAACTAAGAGCATTACGAAAACTTATCACTAACCCAGGGGCCACATGTTGGGGGCCCTCGGGCCACCGGGGCTCCCAACGTGCGGTGCAAAAATAAATAAAAACTTTTCAAACATTTTTTTTAAATATCGTAATGAGATTACAAAATGGGAGAATTTCAGACCCGGAATCTTATTTCAATCCCAATGTATATTATTGCTGTTTACATATATTAATTTGTAAAACTAAACAAAGATTTCGGAGCCTTTGAGACCTGAGTGGTATGTTCGAAATATTAGAACCAGAGAAACTCCTGAATTCTTCAAGCGATAGCGAAGAGATATTAAACACTTCCGGAAAACTGTCAGTTAAATACAGTAAAGACATCTCAGTTAATCCCTATGACCAATTAAGGCTCTAAAAACATACTTGAAATCTGAAATTCAAAAAATTCATTCCATTATGAATCTCATTGAATTATTGCTGGTAAAATTTATTAGTCTTGTATCCAGTTTTCTGGAGGTAATAACAGCATGCTTTTTATTTCTAGTTACAACCGCAACTGCTGAAAGAAGTTATCCAAAATTAAAAATGATAAAATACCTAATTACCTAAGAACTTCGATTCGATTCGAGGTCATGAACGCCCGTCAGACTAATTCACTGTTATCCATAGAAGCAGAAACTTTAGAAAAACTGAAGTTGACATTGTGGGTTACCTATAATGCGAAGAGATGGCGCTGCCTTGCAGCTTAAGAATGGCTAGAAGAATTTCGACGCGGTCCGTGAGGGCCGCGGTAGCATAATTGGTCAGTGCATTCGCCCGGATTGCGAAGGATGCGGGTTCGAGTCCCGTCTGCTGCCTGGTCCGCGTGGAATTTTTTCTAGTTATATTTTCTTTAGATTTAAACATCAAGCAGTTACATGCTTTAAAATAATAAAAATTAAAACTGAAGTCATCATGAGCCATAAATGATTTAATAAATCAGTTTGCCGAAAATAAGGCAAACAAAGAGTATATTTAATTTGAATTGTTTGTAACTATTTTGGAAAAGTGACATAGATAATTATATGATATGATAATTTCATGCAAACATTTTTCTTTTCTTTTGTGACATATCTTTACCCTTCCTAAGGGCCCCCAAACAAATTTTTATACGGGGCCCCACCAAGGCACGCTTCGCCACTGCACTAACCTTACCATGTTCTTCATTCAAATGACGCAAAACGATATTCATATGTTTCGCGTCGAAGCGCCACAAGAGTGACTGATTATCCGATAACTGTCATCAACACATTTAAAATAAATAGTTTTGACAGTTTGCGCAAAAAACTACGCGGTTATTATAAGGAGTCCGAATTTCTTAAAATGTAAGAAAGTATTGAATTCTTTCATCTACTGGGTACCGTTTATTAACTGGGCTCACTGCCCTATTTTAACTACGGTCACACATTCGTTGGATCGGAATCATAAATTGGTCATTGCACCTATTTACCTTACATTACGGAATTTGGTACTTATTTAGAGAATTGTAAACACTACCTGCCTATGGCAAATAAAAGCTAGTTATGCTTGTGTGTCTTCTGCAAATATCATTGGGTAGAGCGTTTCCGAGTTGAAAGAAATCATTGTTTTTTTTTTCAATCTATTTACATTTAATTGGTAAAGCAGAAGGAGTTCAATAGCGCAGGTAGTTAGCGAATTCGGCCCACGATCATGAAAGTTAAGCAACTTTCTCAATGGTCAGTCATTGGATGGGTGACCAAAAACTTATTAGGTAAGTATCACGCTCCCCCGTGCTTCTGATGGCACGTTAAGCGATTGCTACTAACTGCATCTGCAGTTGTTAGCACACACCAATCCGCACTGTAGACCCTTTAAATTATAACCTTACTTGTAAAATATATGTAATCATCATTGCCATCAAACCTTGTCTAAATTTCATATTTTTTAATAACTGACAAACATATCACTTTTCCATTATATAAGTATAGATCACAGTCCAGCCCTTGAACACCTTATAATTCATAGAGCCCATCCTAACGAGTTAGTGCTTTAAGGCAGCCTTGTTAAATAACACGATAAAGTTTTCAATACAATCTGATAAGTTGTGATCAATGGATTGGATCGATCTGCTCGTACCAATAATCTATTTGTAAACAAGTAGGTAACCCAGAAACCTCTCTATTATTTTGAATACGCTGTTGCAAACAAAAGTGTGAAAATTGCAATTCCAATAAGTACCGATCGAATGAAATTGATTTTGAAAGAAGGGCCCTTTAACACGAACCCCGCTACACGTTCTGTATGATTCAGCAATATATCGACTTTTAATTTGCTTTTAATTAACAAAGTACCATGGATTTGACAGTTTTTATGTAGA